CTTCTACAAATGCTCCATTACATTCTTGCTTTCAATTCAATGTCCTACATACAAGGGCAGTCAAAATAGGATCGGTTATAAAGGCAATACAGATGTAACCTGATTACATTAAAAGGTTTCAGCTTTTTGCAAAGATACTCAACCAAGGACCTTAAGTTAACCCTGCAGTACATCACGACGTGTAAATGGCTCCTGAGATGTATAAATGCTGGTCTGGTCTCCTATGATGTATTAAAAGTATGTATAAAATTCATAATACATTACATCAACTACATCATTTCTATCTCCTTTTTTCTCTAAACTGTTTTCTCCCATCTCCTCTCTTCCTGTTAACCAATCATTTCTTTAGTCTCAAGTACTTTGTATCCCAATAGTTTACTCCAACTGATCATTACTCCAACTCGCTAATTTCTAGCCATTATTTCATGCTTGAAGCCCCTTCGAAAAACGCCACACACCTACACCAACTGCACCCAGCTTAGCTATGAAGGGTCACTATGGCCTTTGCAACCCCAGTTGTCTCATTCCCTTTTTGCATTAGTTCTGCCGCCCAGCAAGTTACCAGGGGCAGGGGTGAGTTGACATCCTGGCTTTGAATGAAATTTAACTCAGCAGTGCCAACTCTTCACCCCCTTTCTGAAACCTTAATGTCTATCTACGCTTTCGTTATTTGCTCTAGCCAAGAACACCAGGGTGTTGATTTGAAATTCATCACCAAAACCCAGCTTAGCATCTGCTCCTCCATTCTCAGGAACCCTATTCTCCTTGAAAGAGTTTACCTTGTTGCATCCTTTCTTTAAAAAATAAATTGGTTTCCAACTATCACAAGGTCCACCCCAAAATTTGCATGAAGATATCTTTGGTCCCTGAGCTTTTGAGCTGAGCCACTTCTCCATTCCTACCTCCATCTTATGGCCTTGCTTATCTTTGAGTTCACTGCCATCCTTAAACCCCTCTGCACATATAAGCATTTCCTTGACATTTTCATCTTCTGTGAGCCGCTCTGCCTCCATAATTTTGACATGAATCCATCTCTGAATACTTGCCATTCCCCTCACCTTCTTTAGCCCTGTAACCCTTTCCGATCCCAATTTTCATCTTTACATCACAGGAAATTGCTGAAGTGCACTTTCAAATTTCCAAACTGCTATTCTCTAGCTCCTCCTTTTATCTTTGTCTTGTTGCAACCTCAACCAGTTCAACCTGCACCGTTGATGCTCTAGTCCCCAACAAAACAATTGGGCCCGAGTGTAATGACAGGGGAGGCTATGGGTCATTGATTGGCATGGAGCTTATAAGAAGCCATGGGAGATGGGCGGGGGTTATGACGTGGTATAGGTGTGTATGTGGAGCATGATGAGGTGCAAATGATGATAGCTTTTTGTTCTTTTCACAGCAGTGATGAAGCTTCCCTTCATGTTTCTTGGGAACTGGGGGACTAGGATCATTATGTACGTCAGAAATTAAACTCTAATTTAAACCTCACTTCCTTGCTCCCTTCACCTTCCCCAGGAATTACAGATGTGAGAAGTGCATCAGTCACTGGTATTTGAGCCATCTCCTCACCTGCTTCTACTGCTTCCCCGTGCTGACAAAACCAAAGGCCCTCACAGAGCCTGCTCCTATCCAACTCCAAACCTAAACCTTTCTCATGGCCACTCAAACTCACTTTGTTCTTGAGCTCCTGCTAGCTTAAAGCCATCTCCATTAAGTTGCTGATCAACCAACTTTCCCTCCTGGCTCCCATTAACATTGAAAATGTTCCCCTACCTTCCCATAATGTTTACAAAACTATCATGATCACACCTTCCGAAATAAACCATCTGCAACTACAAAAGCTAACACATTGGCTTTTCCCAAATCAGCGATCACCTTTTCTGCACCTTGATTTGAATTTCTCCAAACAGTCTTCTGGTTCTGACAGAGCTTCCAAGTTTGTCCTTGATGATTGTGAACACTGTGTGTTGCCCTTTTTGTACTCCTCAAACTTGCCGCCTTGTAAACAAACCACATAATTCTAACATCACCACTGTTCCTTTGTCACCCACTCACCGGGGCTGCTTGGTTCCACCTCTACCCATCTGACTATAACTAGATCCTCTCCAGTATTTTAAGAGCCTGGATTTATCCATAAATAACGATATGCTTTTATTTTCAACACAGCAGCTTTATGAAGTGAGTGTAACAGTTTTAGATTTCATGTTGTGAGTTTAAAAATACTAAAATAAATCACACAATAGTGCTGTGGTTTGACAAATAATCACCAAGGACCTGCCTTTGGGCAGAGAACTTCATGAGACGAAGGAGTGGGTAAATAGATGGTTTACTGCACAACTGAGCTATACAGATCAAGAAAGTCTCAGGTCTGAACTGTGGAATAGCAAAGCTTTGTCTCAACTGGACTCAGCATTTATCAGATGGTGTGACAGAGAAGAGACAGAGAGAGAAATAAACATGTCAGTTAATGCTGATCAAAGGTCAGGTGAAAGCAGTTTTCAACTTGTACTCACGACTCCTAAGATTAAATGATCCAATTCCAGCCCTGTAAGGAGTCTTTCTCTACTGTCACAATTGCAGAACTCCAAGGTTTTGAGAGATCAGAGTATCCTGACACATGGAATCAGTGTGGAAGGAGGCCATTCAGCCCATCAAGTCCACATTGATCCTCCGAAGAGCATCTCACCCAGCCCTATCTCTTTCCCATAACTCCGCATTTCCCATGGCTGATCCACCTAGCCTGCACATCCCTGGACACTATGGGCAATTTAGCATGGCCAATCCACCTAACCCACACATCTTTGGACTGTGGGAGGAAACCAAAGCACCCAGAGGGGACCCACACAGACACTAGGAAAATATGCAAACTCCTCCACAGACAGTCACCTGAGGGTGGATTTGAACCTGTCTCCCTGGTGCTTTGCGGTAGCAGTGCTAACCACTGAGCCACCATGCCAACCCAATGAATCACAGAAAATTGGTATGCAAGTATAGCAAGTGATTAGGAAGGCAAATGTAATGTTGTTGTTTGTTGTAAGGGGAATGAAATATAAATTTTTGCTTCAGTTGTATAAAATGTTGGTGAATCCATGTCTAGAGTACTATGTACAGTTTTTGTTGCCTTTTTTGAGAAAGCATACAATTACATTGGAAGCAATTGAGAGAAACTTAATTCAACTAATTATATATAGAATCCCTACAGTGTGGAAACAGGCCCTTCAGCCCAACATGTCCACACCAACCCTTGGAGCATCCCACCCAGACCCATTCCCCTTTAACCCACCTAATCTACACACCCCTGAACTCTGCAGGCTATTTAGCATGGTCAATCCACCTTGCCTGCAGATCTTTGATCTGTGGGAGGAAACTGGAGCACCCAGAGGAAACCCACGCAGACACGGGGAGAATGTGCAAATTCCACGCAGACAGTCGCCCGAAGGTGGAATCGAACCCGGGTCCCTGGCGCTGTGAGGCAGCTGTGCTAACCACTGAGCCACCGTGCCACCCTAAGAATCCTAAGATGAAGTTGTTATTGTATGACAGTGGTCTTGGCAGGTTAGGTCGGTATACTTGGGAGTTTGGAAGAGTGAGAAGTGATCGAACTGAAACATTAAGACCACCCCCCCCACAAGATGACTTGCCAGGGTGGATGCTGAAAAGGTGTTTTCCATTGTGGACTAGAATGAGGAGGCAGTTTAAAAATAACAGGCCTCCAATTTAAGATGGAGAAGAAGAGATATATTTTCCCCTCAGGGTCATTTGTCTGTGGAATTCACTTCCTCAGAGAGCAGTGAAGTCAAGATCACTGAATATTTTTAAGGTTCGAGTTAGATAAATTCTTGACTGACAAGAAAGTCAAGGGGTTATGGGTGTAGCAAGGAAAGTTGAGACCACCATCTGGATCAGCCATGATCTTATGGAATAGCAGAAATGGCTTGAGGGGCTGAATGGCCTACTTCTTTTCCTAATTTCCATAATTTGCTAATTCTCTCTTTCACACATACACGGGCAATGTCATAGAATCATAGAATCCCTATAGTGTGGAAACAGGCCCTTCGGCCCAACAAGTCCACACCGACTCTTGCAGTATCCCACCCAGACCCATCCCCCTATAACCCACCTAATCTACACATCACTGAACAGTATGGGCAATTTAGCATGGCCAATCCACCTAGCCTGCACATCTTTGTCTGTGGGAGGAAACCCACACAGACACAGGGAGAATGTGCAAACTTCACACAGACAGTCAACCAAGGGTGGAATTGAACCCGGGTTCCTAGCGTTGTGAGACAGCAGTGCTAACCACTTAGCCACCGTGCTGCCCCTTGATAATGGGAATGCCATTTGATAATGAAAAACAGAGAATGTTTCCAACATTTAACAGGTCAGACAGTTTCTGTGAAGAGAAAGTGTATCAGCTTTTCAGGGTGGAAATTTTAACTCTGCTGCCTTCATAGATGGAGCAGAATCATGCTGTTGCCCGTGAGGTGCGTTTTGTGGGGGGCGGGGGTGGGGGGGGGGGGGGGTGTGCATTTAATCGGATGAAAGCCTGGTATGTTGGGAACCCTCTGCTTTCTTTTAATGCTCAGGTAAGGACCTCACCTTTCCTCAACTGGCATTAAAACACTGGCAGGAAGAAAACTCACCATATGATTAGTGCAATAAGCAAACCCTGGCTGGTTTGCTCACAGAGGGGAGCTGGTGCCCTTATTCAAAGGCACCCCCTAGCAATATTAAGTACCTGAAATGGCACATGATCTGGCAGGCCTTTCCAAAAGGAGGCGCTGTAGGGGCATCTTGTCTGCTCTTCAGCCAGTGGCAGAGATACGGAGTTAGACGGAAATGAAGGGTAGGAACCAAACTGAAGAAATGGGAATTATATTAAAAAAAATCTGTACATATGCTTGCAGAAAGCTCGAGATGTGAGCCACAGACAAGAGCAACATTTAGCATTCAGAAATACTAACACAGTAACAATACTGAGCCACTGTGGGCAAACATACCTCCACACTGTAGTCATCTGAAGGATATGAGTTATCACTGGAATAATACTGACATCTCCCTGCATGGAAGGGTTTGATATCCTGTTGCAAAAGAAGGTAACATTACTATTTTCTAATGCAACTGAGATCTGCTCAACTCTCTGCACGAGACAGTCAAGATTTTGAACAACAAATTTAATTTCATCTTTTTTAACAATTGCATCAAATAGATTGTTTCAGTAGGTAGAATTTGAATGTGACTGAAAAGTCAACATGTTGCTAAGCATTCAACACCTTTCATCCTGTATTATAAATTCTTGCGTGATTGTTGGAATTTTGATATTCTTGCATCTGTCCTGATGTGTGCAGGATGAAAAATCTGCAGCAAGATCTCTCTTTTCAATGATATTCAATAGTATCAAAATTTTAAAATATGGAAGCAGTTAGAAAGTCAAACCTTATAGAGCCATAGTTTTGGTTTCCATGTCCAAGCAGAGATGCACATGCTATAGACAGATTGCAATGTAAATTCACCAGACTAATCCCTGGGAAGATTGGACTGTTTTATGAGGAGATATGGTGGAAACTAGGCTTGTGTTCTTGAATTTCAAAGAAAGAGAAGTAATCACATTGAAACTTACAAAATTCATACGGGGTATGACAGAGTGGATGTAGGTAAAATGTTTCGCCCCTGATTGGTGAGTCTAGAATCAAAGGAGATAATCTGAGGATAGAAACCAGGCCATTTAAACGGAGATGAGAAGGATTCTTTTTCCCCAGACAGCGGTGAATCTTTAGAATTCTCTATTTCAGAGAGCATGGAAACTCAGTCACTGAACAGGTTCCAGACAGAAATCAATAGATTTTGCAAGATTAATGACATTAAAGGATATGGAGATAGCAGCATTGAGGCACATGATCAGCCATGATCTGATTGAATGGTGGAGTAGGTTTGATGAGCTGAAAGGCCCACTCTATTCCTACGAAGTGTAAAAGGGCCAAGATAGATATTATCCCTTGTGTGCTGAGAGAGCATGTTTGATGTGAATACCTGGAACTTTACTCTGGGGCACTGGCTATTTGTGTCTACCTCCCCCACCCTGAAGGTTCTGGTCAGGATCCCCCAATATTCACATCACCCATGAGATCTTATTTCCCAATGTTGTGATGGCTGGAAGTGAATGAGCACTGTTGCTTAGTTGTCAAAATGTCCCTAGACACTGGAAACCCCACTCTCAATGTTTAGCCTTGATCATCAAACTGCAGCAACATCACAGCTGAAGGCAGGAATCCTTTTGAGAGGGAGAAGAGAAATGAGAGATCCATAAGCTGACCAGGCAGCAAAGGCTGGACAGAAGTGTTAGCTTCAGCTTTGCATCGGGCACTGGGTAAATACCAGCTTGAGTTGTGGTGGTGGGGGACAGTGGCAGGAAGAAAAGACAAATAAGGAGTGTATTTCAGACTGTTTTCTTGGACAATATGATCCCAATCCAATTAGGAATCAGGCTATTTTGCATCTGGTGATGTCTAATGAGGCAGGTTTAATAAATGATGCTAGAATAAAAGATCCCCATAGGAAACAGCAACCATAACATGACAGAATTTACCATTCGGTTTAAGAGGAACGAACTTGGGTCAGAAAATGTGTTAAATAAGGCTAATCACAAAGGACAAGGCTAGATAGAGTGGACTGGGAAAGACGTCGAGCAACAAAGATGGTTGAGGAACAATGACAGACATTTAAGAAATTCATTCTTGGTTCACCACCAAGTTATGTTCCAATGAGTAAGAAGGATTCTAGACAGGGGTAACCAACCATGGTAAAACAGGGAAGTTAAGGACAGCATCAAATTGAAAGAAAAATGTGGTAAAAATTAGCATTTGGCTAGAGGTTAAGTTTTAAAAACCAGCAAACAATGATATAAAGAAAAGGGAGAAAATAAACTTTGAGGATAAACTTCCAAATAATATTAAGACAGACAGCAAGAACTTCTTTAAATATATAAAGAGAGAGAGAAGCCAAATTGATCATATGTCAATTGGAGAATGAGATTGGGGAAATAAGAATACTTTGCGTCAGTCTTCACAGTAGACTAATAGCATTTCAGAATGACTAAATAATCAAAGGACAAAAGGAGGTGAAGAAATAAATACAATAACTATCATTAGAGAAAAGAACGGTGGGAAACAAATGGGGCTAAAGAGCAATACGTCCCCTGGACCTGATAGGATGTATCCCAGAATATAAAAGATAGTAGGTACAGAGTTAGTGGACGCACTTGTAGTAATCTTCCAAGAATCCTTAGATTCTGGAAAAGTCCCACAGGATTGGAAAACTGCCTATGTAACACCTTTATTTAAAATGGAAAGGAGACCAAAAAAAGTAACTACAGGCCAGTTAGCTTAATATCTGTTATTGGGAAAATGTTAGAGTCAACTATAAAGGATGTAATAGCAGAGCATTTAGAGATACATAATATTATCAAGCAGAATCAGTATGGCTTCTTAAAGGGAAAGTCTTTGAGGAGGTAACAAGCAGGATAGTTAGATTTCACGTTGGTAAATTGTAACTAGTAGTGAGCCACAGGAATCAGTGCTGTGCCATAAGTTTTTACAATATATATTAATGACTATTGCTAAGTTTGTGGATGGCACAAAAATAAGTGGAAAGGCAAGTGGTGGTATTCATTGGAATTTAGAAGAATGAGAGGCTACCTCGTTGAGACATACAAGATTCTTACAGGACTTGACAGAATTGACGCAGAAAGGTTGTTTCACCTTAAAGCAGAGGCTAGGACCCGAGGGCATCATCTCAGAATAAGGGATTGCACATTTAAGACAGAAATGAGGGAGAATTTCTTCTGTCAGAGGGTAGTGAATTTGTGGAATTCTTTACCACGGAAGCTGTCAAGGTTGGGTCATTCAGTCTATTCAGGGTTGATATGGATAGATTTTTAATCAGTCAGAGAATCAAGGGAAAGGGCAGGAAATTGGAGTTGAGGGTTATCAGATCAGCCATGGTATCACTGCTCCTTCTGCTCCTAAATTTTACGATCTTAGGGAGAATGCCAACACCCACACAGATGGATGGAGGGATAGCAAAGAGGAGATTGTTAGAATAGTTCTTTTTTAAAATCTGGGTTGGAGTGGTTTGTAGAAAATCCAAAGATGTTTTAATTTTACTCACTACTTAAATTATAAGCTTGTTAGTTGTGAAGAATAAAAGCATTGTAAGCGACCAGAACACATGGCTAAAGGACATGGACACAGCAGGGTGACTTCATCTACAAACTGACAACTGCCATGCAGTCACAAATGGCCACAAACCACACATACATGGTTCATATCTCTTTTTCAGAAACAGAAACTTTTGAATGAAAGGAGAAATAGAAGTTAGAAAAATGAGGTCATTGTCCCTTTCTTCCCCCTCTATTTTAGATAACATGACTCTTATTTTATCAAGTGTTCTACAGTACTGGAGAATGCGTTAACATGTCAAAAATCACAAGCTTCTGGAGGATGCAACATGCTCCAAGATCTTTTTCAAAACTACTGACTATGTGTCTTCAGCATTTCAAGCTTCTTTTGTGAAAGTGGGTTTATTTCCGAGACAGGACTAATATGGAGTATGCAGTAGCAACAGATTAAGTACCAAGACTCTGTCCTGCTCATCATCCAATCACTTCCACATTATAAACTTATATTTAAGATTGGTTGTAGACTGGTCAGCTGTTTTGAAACTACCGGTCAGCTTCAGAGTCAAACTTAGGGTGGAATTTCCAATTGGCAGCACTCCCTGGTTCGGTACAGCTCAATTTAGGCTATAGACTATGACTTCTGTAGATTATGGCAGAATACATCTTAATTCTAAACGCAGGAGAATCCTCTTTCGCACCAGTTAGGTCATTACAATTCCAGCCAGACTGTTACCTGGAAAAATTAAGGAACTGGATCTAGACTTGCACAATTTTATTTTGCATTGGTTCTTACTGTCAAGGAAGAAACTATCCCACCAAGGAGGCATAGCTGGGACAGTTAAGGGACAATGTCAGGCATCTTCAGAACAATTACCAGATTTCAGCTAAATAACCAACAAGCCACCTTGGGAGATAATTTGAGTTTTACAACCACCAGAGACAGAAGAGTTAGAAACAGACTCATGCTGGGGAAAGAGACCCAAAACTACAGAGATGATGTTAATAGCAGTCCCTAATGGTCGGGTTGAAGAGAAGCCTGAGGTGCTTAGAAGTCAATGAGAATACTTCAAAAGTAGAAAGCTGTGGGAGTGTCAGACAGGAAGACATCTTACAAGGATGTTGTAGACATGAGTTAAGGGAACCCACATGAAGTAAGTGAGCTAAGTTAGCAGTTTGATTTAAGGGTTGCCAGGAGAGCTGTGAAATGAAGAAATTAACATCTAGTGAATGTACTGCAAAGTGAAAAAGAAAACTGTGCCAGCTTAGTGAGAAGCTTTAGTGTTGAGATAAGGATGACTCTTCCCTGATGTTTTAGTATCTGTAAGGGTATTACTAGGATAAAAAGAAGAATGGAAATTTCTTTCTGATATTTGGAATGAGATTACTCCAATGATTCTTGAATAGTGTTGTGTAGCTTGTTCAGTTTCTCTTTTGCATGACACACTTCTGCATTCTCTTGTTAAAAGTACATTGACAACCTCTTGTGAATAGGTTCAGTGACTGACCTCCACAATAAACAAAAAATAAAAATAAAACTATGGTGAATCGAGGCAGGTTTCACTCTGAAATCTGACTTGCTTAGTATGACCACCAGCTAGGACATGACAAAAATCTTGCACGTTTTAGACAAAGAAAAGGAATATGTTATACTTTTGAGCTCAGGAAGGAAGATGGTATTAATTCCCAATACATTTTCAAAGAAAACTCCAAAGGTGTTTTATAGAGAAATGTAAGGCAAGAGGATAACTAAGAAAGAAGAAGGCCTTTAAGAGACCAAAGTAGGGGTGGGTGGAAGGGTGTGTTGCGCACATGTATGGGTATATGTGTGTGCATGCATATGCACATGCACCTTGCATTTGTCATGAAGAACAGATATTGTGGCCTGAGGAAGTGTTTGAGATGTTGAATGGGATAAACACAGTGAGGGACAAAATATTAAGAGATTTGGAGCCTACGTGAAATATATCCCAGGTTGCTGAGAGAAGGGAGAAAATAGGGGAGTCTGACCAATATTTTTCAATCCTCTCCAGGTACAGGCGTGGTACCTGAAGACTGCTCATGTTGTCCATTTGGTTGAATGGGGAGACAAGCCAGTCTAGCTTCTGTGATGCGCAAATTATTGGAAAAATTCTGAAGGACTGTTTTACTTAACATTTAGGAAGTCACAGATTAATCAAAAATAATTGGTATGGATTTAGTAAGGGAAGGTCACGTCTGACTGTGTTGATTTAATTTTTTGCATAAGTAACAAGGAAGAATGATGTTATGGTCTGCATGGATTTCACCAAGGTTTTCGACAAGGTCTGAGATGGCAGGCTGGTCAAATAAGTAAAAGTCCATATGATCCACTGCAAAGTGGCAAGTTGGATGCAAAACTGCAGGAAGTAAAGAGTAACAGTAGATGGGCATTTTTGTGAATGGATAGTAATGATTGAAATTTCAGTGTAGGAGACATCATTTAGAAATTTGCAGATGATTCAAAAAAGATGCCTATGTCACTAATAATTACGCAGAAAACTACAGTAAAATGAAACAAAGAACTGCGGATACTGGAGATCTGAAACAAACAAAAACTGGAGAAACTCGGCTTGTCTGGCAGCATTTGTGGATAGAAAGCAGAGTTAACGTTTCAAGTCCAGTGATCCTTCTTCAGCAATTTGTGTTGTTTGCTTGTTTGTTTGTTTTAGAAAACTACAGACTATGGGAAGGTACCAATGATCAGCTCGGCAAATAAGTGGCAGATGGAATTAAGAAGAAGTGGAATCCAGAGAAGAATAAGGTAATTAATTAGGGAGGGTAAACAACACAAGAGAATACACAGCAAGTAGTTGGATGCTGAGAAGCGTAGAAGAGCAGAGAACATGTACACCAGATCCTGGAAGGTTGTAGGCCAGATAAAAATGCTGGTTATGAAGGCCTACAGAATTATTTTATTCATTGGAGGAGGGATGGAATTTCAAAGCAAGGAAGTTACACTTGATGGGAAGTTATGCAATAAAACTAGTCAGGCCACATCTAGAGTACTGTGTCTGGTGCTGGTCACATTATAGGAAAGATACATGCAAAAAAGTACAGTTTTAAGAAGGACTACAGAAGTTGAGCCATGTGTACCTCTTTCATTCTGAAGAAAAAAGATTGAGAGGAGTTAAATTGGGCTGTATAAAATTATTGACAGGCCATGTCAGGTGATACACTTTGCTTTAAGAAAAAGCATTACACTTGGAATAAGGAAAGAACTATGTAATGTGCATCCGACGGATTTGAGAGCTCAGAATCATAAAACACTGAAAATTCCAAATTGCTAAAGGAACACCAGTCAAATGACAAGAAGTTTAAAATACTAAAATACAGACTCAGTGGTGAATCTAAACAAAGCTTTAGCAAGGCCCGGTTAGAGTGTTACACAGGAAGGATGTTGATGTTAGAGCGGGGCGTTTGGTCCAGATTCAAATGCTGGCTGGCAGGAGTTATTAATACAGGCGCCAGAGTATGGCCACTTAAACACTTTTCACTGTATCTTTTGTAAAAATACTAGTGACAATAATTTATTATTCCACTATTTTACTATTCTACAAATATGAAGGTTCAAAAATAATGGGTACTTTTCACAAGGGACAATTTGATGAAGGTTTTGCAAGTTATGAAATGTGAGGGAGGGACCAATATAGATGGAAACTAACTTTGCAGTGACTGAAGATTCTGAACCAAAGAGACAAAAGATGCAAGATTAAATGTAAGCATTTTCGGACAACGAAGAGGAGAACCGGCTGTTTATATATAGGGGTGTAAGGCACGTTGAGATTGAAGCACAGACCATGGCAACTTTAAGTATGGATAATGGGGAAAAGAGAACATGGCAGGAACATAGGATTATGCTGTTTGTGTGGAAGGTAAACACCAAGGAATGGATGGCTTGTATTAGTCTATCATTTTTAGGAACTCCAGTCCAAAAGGGAGGACTGCCTGAAATCAGTGAACCTCTTCACAAAAGCGTACAAAGGAACTTCAAGACTGACAAAGAGTATTTAACTATTCCTTTCTTCTCAACCCAAAGATGCATTGAGCCTAATAGATAGCTTACTTGGAAAGCATTCAGAGAAGATATACAAAAGCTTTGCCAGAGTTGGAGGGTTTGAGCTATAGGGAGAGGCTGAATAGGCTGGGACTATTTCCCCTGGAGTATCAGAGGCTGAGGGGTGACCTTACAGAAGTTTATAAAAGCATGAGGGGCACGAATAGGGTGAAGAGCCAAGGTCACTTTCCCAGGTTAGGGGAGTCCAAAAGTAGAGGGCATAGGTTTAATATGAGAGGGGAAATATTTAAAATGGACCTAAGGGACAACATTTTCATGCAGAGGGTGGTACATGTATGAAATGAGCTGCCAGAGGTGGTGGTGGAGGCTGGTACAATTACAACATTTAAAAGGCATCTGGATGGGTATATGAATAGGAAGGGTTTAGAGGGATGTGGGCCAAATGCTGGCAAATGGGACTAGATTAACTTAGGGTATCTGGTCAGCATGGACAAGTAGGACCGAAGGGTCTGTTTCCATCTGTATATATCTATAACTCTAGGAGAAGCCATTTCTCCGATGATATTGAATTTGGCTGAGGTTAGAATTCAAATGGTGACACTAAGAGTGGGATCTCAGTGCTACTGCTTAAGATTTGAGAGCCATCACTTCAAAAAAACCATGAGAATATGGGTACTGCAGGTAAAGCCAGCATTTTTAACCCATCCCTTGTTGCCCTGAAACTGAATGACTGGCTTGGCCATTTCCAAGGGCAGTTCAGAGTCAGTCACATTGCTGTGGCTCTGGAGACACATGTAGGGTATTCATGAACCAGCTGGCTTTTTAAATTACAAAGAGTGACAGTTTGACAGCCAACATCATCGAGTCTAGTTATTAATCCATACATTTCATTAATTCTGTTTTATTCACTTGTGGGACATGGGTGTCACTGGCTAGCTAGCACTAAGTGAATTTAAATTTCAGCAGTTGCTATGGTGAGATTTGAACCCATCCAGCAGAGTATTAGGCTGGACCTGCAAAGTTACCAGCTCAACTACATTACCATTATTCCAGCATTTCCCTTCAGTGAGCAGTTTATTAATGACCTTCCTGAAACTGTCTTAGTAGCCTTTTGTAAACAGCAAAGCAAGCTTAGCCCTTAAACTAAAGTGACTAAGTAGGTGTATAATCATCGGGCAGTATTTGAATGAAGGGATCCACTGATGTTCGGAAAACAAACTGTTCAAATTAAAAGATTAAAAAGAATTCCTTTAGAACAAACTAACAGTGTGTGCCTATACAACAGATTTATAAAAGCAGAATTTTGATAGTATCTAGTTGGGCTCAGACATAAAATTATGAATATGCAAACGGCAGAATACAACCAAAGAATATTTACCCTTGAGTTTCTCATTTCCATCAAAAAACAAATCAACAGCAGGAATAGGCCATTCAGCCCCTCAAGCCTGCTCTGCCATTCAAGAAGACCATGGCTGATCTGATTGTAACTTCAAATCCACATTCTTGCCTATCCCTGGTAATCTTTTGCCCCCTTGCTCCACAAGTATCTAAATAGATCTGCCTCAAAAAATATTTCCAGGACTCTGCTTCCACCACCCTTTCAAGGAGACTTGACAACCCTCTGAGAAGAAATTTGCCTCATCTTTGTTTCAAATGAGCAGCCCCTAATTTTCAAACAAGTGACTGCCTAGTTCTAGATTCTGCAAGAAGAGAAGACATCATCTCCACATCCTCCTTTTCAAGACCCTTCAGAATTTTGTATGCTTCAATCAACTCTTCGAAATGCCGATGGATACAAGCCAAATCTATCCAACCTTTCCTCGCAAGACAACCCACTTGTTCAAAGTATTTGTCTAGTAAATCTTGTCTGAACTGCCTCCAATGCATTTACATGCTTCCTGAAATATAGTGATCAACAGTGTGCCCACTACTCCAGATGGGGGTCTCACCAGAGCCCTGTATAATTGAAGCATAATCTCCCTACTTTTGTACTCAATTCTCATTTATATCCATCTTGTCTATGAATTACCAGCAGAAGTGCTGCATGAACCACACACTCATGGAACAAGACTCTCCCAAGTAATCCTGTAAATTTGGAAATATGCATTATTTTTGTGTAAAATATATATTATGTAAAGTTATTTTTTCTGGTGATTGTCCTTATGGATTTATATTAGGATTCTTCAGCAGTCAGTGCCTAAAGATCACTAGAAGACACATATTTTCCAAGTGCTTTAATACATAAGATTTTATGAAAGCAAACACTATGGTAACAATGAAGCTCTTTGGCAAAATAATACCAATAGAAAGAAGTTATACTCACAATGTGTCTGGCAGCAAATACACCATCAACAATGGCACAACAGAAAGACGCCACTACACCAAAACTGATGAACACCATCGAGGCCACCAGCTAAGGAAACAGAATGTACATTAATACACAAAAAAAAACTGCCTGGGTAGAATATTCAAACATCAAAACAACTCCTATATTTATGCTTTGTTTTGAAAAACATGTAATGAAATGGATTGCACAACCAACTGCCTTGAGTACATTGAGAAAAAATTAACCATTTCAGTAATTAGATGAAAAGGGGGCAACAAATGGGGACAGTGTTAAACAAATGATTGGAGACAGTGCATGTATTTCAATGAATGTCATTTATAACGTGTGCTCAGACAACACATGTGTAGAATTATCAATCAAATGAATTGTAGATACACCAATGGTGTTGTTAGGAAGGAAATTCCAGGAATTTGACCTAACGACAGCGATAGAAAGGCAATATTTTTCCAACTCAGGATGGTGAGTGGCTTGGAGGAGAGCTTGCAGGTGGTGCTGTTCCTAGGTATCTGCTGTCTTCATTCTTCTAGAGTTGTCGTGGGTTTAAAAGACTCTATCAAAGAAGCCTTGCTCACCTCCAGCCCAGGCCCCAAGAACACCTTCCACATTAAACAGATGTTCACCTGCACATTTGCTAATGTGGTATATTGTATCCGCTGTTCCCAATGTGGCTTCCTCTACATCAGGGAAACCAGGTGGAGGCTTGGAGACTGCTTTGTGGAGCACCTCCCTATGCTCAGGTCATGACAAATGACAACTCCTCCCAGTCGCGAACAACTTCAACTCCCCCTCCCACTCCTTGGACGACATATCCATCGTTGGCCTTCTCCAGTGTGACAACGATGCCAGCCGAAGGCTGGAGGAACAGTACCTCATATTTCACCTGGGAACCCCGCAGCCCAATGGTCTCAACGTGGACTTTATGAGCTTCAAAATCTCCCCACCCTCGACCTCACCCCAAGACCAGCCCCTCTCGTCCCTGCCTCCTTGACCTGTCCGTCTTCTCTCCACCTATCTGCTCCTCTATCCACCTTCTATCATCGCCTCGTCCTCTCTCTATTTATTTCTGAGCCTCCTTCCCCTCCCCCATTTCTGAAGAAGGGTCCAGACCAAACCAAAACCAGACCAGACCAAACGTCAGCTTTCCTGCTCCTCTAAAGCTGCCTGGCTGCTATGTTCATCCAGCTCCAAACCTTGTTATCTCAGACTCCAGCATCGGCAGTTCCTACTATCTCCGAGCCTCGCTAAGTTGTTGCAGTGCATCCTGTAAATGGTACACACTGTGGCCACTATGCATCGATAGTGAAGTTAAATGTTAAAGATAAATGTTAAATGTTAAAGATATTCAATGGCACATGAACCAAATGGGCTCACAGACAGTAGGAACTGCAGATGCTGGAGAATCTGAGATAACAAGGTGTAGAGCTGGATGAACACAGCAGGCCAAGCAGCATCAGAAGAGCAGGAAGGCTGACGTTTTGGGCCTAGACCCTTCTTCAGAAAAAGGGTCTAGGCC